CCCTCTCCTTCCCCCTCCTCCTCTCTCTCTGAGCTGAGCAGCTTCCCTCCTACCATACTCTTCCACCGCGATGCTCTGCCTGGTCACCGGCCAGTAGCACAGCCAGCCAGCTAGGGACTGGAACCTCTGGAATCATCAGCCAAAACAAATCTGTGCTCCTCAAAGTTATTCCCGGGCACTTTGTCACGGCAACGGAGAGCTGATTAATACACATAGGTTGGAAAGACACCCTCTTCCAGACTATAGTAAGACTTTAAAACCACTTAAGCAAAAACATGTGAGCCGGGTCTTGAAAGAAGCAGAAGGTGAAGGTGACAGGTAGAGGGTACAGTGAGGACCTTCAGGAAGAAAGGACAGTGTGTGCAGAGTGCTAAGCTGTGAAAGACCAAGACAATGGGAGGACAGTGAGCAGTTAGGACACTAACGGTCCAGCTGGCAGAGTGAGTGTGTGCTTCATGGACTTGAGAGGCGCTTTTGTGTCTCACCATGTGAAACTGAGATAGTAAGCAATCTGTAAAGCATCTTTTTCCTAGCACAGCGAGAACTAAGCTATACTCTGATTAGAGAGCAGAACATTAAAGAAACTCAACATTTCTTAGACATTCATAAAAATGCTTAGCGTTACACACAAGTAAAATTCAAATTCATACAAAAGAAAATTATTACGCAGTTATTAGGAGGTTTGCAGAGCTGCATTCAGTTATGATAGAGTAAGAAATAATGGCTTCAGGAAATTGCTTTAAAAATCGTAATTGTATGGATAAACATGCCATTTGAGGTTGGCCTCGGGCAGAAAAACAACAGTGAATCTTAGTAAAGAAAATGCTCAGAAGAGAGCTGCGCTGTAGGAAAGGGGATATTGCATTTGGAGTTAGAGGCATGGTTTGTACTGCTCTTCTGTCATTTACTGGTGCTGTGTCCTCTGGCAAGTTACTTAATTTCTCTGAATCTGATTTTCTTCTTCCTTTTAATGGGTAAAATAATAATATCTGGCATAATATATGTGAAGATGCTTTGTAACCTACAGCCATTTCACTAATTACAATAATTATCAATGAAGAAACAATTCACATTAAAACGCTACTTCAAAAGAAAACACCATTTACACAAAAGCCTAATAAAATCCCTGTTATCAAACCTTGCTATAATAATTCATAAATGAAGGAACTTTATAGCCCTCTCACACCGCGTTGGAATAATAACTGGTTTCTGTTTCCTTCCTAAGGCGTTTGTTTCTATAATCATCTACTAATGTTGTTCTCCTGATAATTAGACCTGGGAGATATTCATCCAAAACTGCATTATGATTAAGGAGCAATACCGCAAGCTCCGTCCCAACACAGAAAATCCCAAAGCTTTTTGGTGATTAAAACCCCTAGGGATTCACTCAACAACTTTAACATAGCGATTTCCAAATTTATTAGAGCACGGAAGTCTGATTTCAAGTGTTGGCTTTACTTCTACAGTACATGTCTTCGAATTTTTTGGTATAGGTTTTTCTTGAAGCAAAAACAGCCACAGTAAAACCAATAGCTGCTCCTGTGGTCGTTGTGTTGATATAATCTTCTAATGGAAATCTTCAATGAATTAATCTTTATCAAAACGATGAACAAATTCCAAGCGCTCTGTGAGCTTTTTTTTTTCCTTATAAACATTTTGCTATTCTCCATTACTAGATGAGTTTGTGGTACTGTCTGAAAATGAAATTTACACCAGGAAAACACTCTATCAAAAAGTGTCTTGAAGACAGAAAATCTGTAGGCAACCTGGCCATGCTAGGAGCGCTGGTGGGTGACAAGTGACGTCTGGAGCGAAGCCGCCTTCTCCAGAGCCAGCAGATGAGCCGATGTTAAGCCAAAATGGTTGTGTTTTGCTACGTGGCCCCGCAGGGCATCATCAGTAGAGCTGTTTCCCAACCTTTCAAGCACTGGTTTAAAACAAACCTTGAGGCTTTTGAGCAGGTACAACATGGCCATTCATGGCTCAAGTTTTTGATGATAGCAGATAAGATGAATCATCAATAGCCTCATAACACCTGGACATTGTTCTGACATCTTCTGAAACCCTACATTAGCTACAAAAGATAGCACTTCATTACTTTATAGATGTATCGAAGGCTCATGTTCCCTCAGCCCACAACCTGATTAAAATTACCAGCATATATAGATGAAAGCTGGTAGTGTTCTATTAAATTAAGCAGTAATGCATGGTTTTGATCTTTTTGTATTAGCTGAGATATAAATGGCAAGTACTGCTTAACTAGGCAGCTCATTAAAAAGTTGAGCAATAGCACGGGAAACTAGTTTCTGTCTTAGAACTGCTTTGATCGGATCATCACTTTTGCTTTCTCTGGATGGCTTTTTGTTTCATAAATGTGGGCTTTGTTTCCCCCATACCTCAAGTTACGCAAAGAGAAATACGTATCAACTTTCATCCTCACTAATCTTTTCCCAGTCCTGGTCATGTTTACATTTTCGCAGCTTGGTAAAAGATGTTTATATTTATTAATTAAGAATCAATGGATGGTCACAACTAGAGACCATACTCATAAGTGAAATAAATCAGACCTGCATGTGCAAGCACCACATTGTTTCACTAGTGTAAAACCTGAAAGAGTTAATTTAAACTAGGAGGTATGACAGACATTGTGAAATGATAGGAAAGTACTCAAGGGTAAAGGGCAACTGGGATGTGGGGAAAAAAGAAGGGAAAGAAGGAGAAATTTTGTATGTATGTATATACAGGATAGTTAACACGGTTGTTCTTCTGTCTTCTGTTTCTATGCTGAAAGAAACATACAGACATGCAATGCTTATCTGTCAGTGAGTCCTTGGTTGATAAGCATTGCATGTCTGTATCTGTGTTCATGAGAAACCACTTTGAAGATATCAATATGTAATACAACAAGCATTGTTAATTCCCTACCACTTTGTTTGTAACTCTGTATTGTCTGTACTGTTCTTTTGCTATTTTGTAAAAGGCTGTCTGCCTGTTAATGTTTTGTTCCTTTTATATTTAAAATAAAAAAAAAGAATCAATGGAGAAGTATAGTGGTTAAAAAACAATTTGTTTTCAATCTTAAAGGGACTTGCGAATTGCTCTGATATATTCCAGTTCCCAAAGTTGAACTTTGAATTATGACAACTGAAACATACCATATTTGGCCAAGGAGGACAATTAGACTTCATAAAACTAAGTATTTCTTATACGTGGCTCTTTTTTCCTTTTTAGGCTCTGAAATGGCCCCTCTGATGAAAGCACATATTACATCATCTTGCTACTGAATTCTACTCTTTGACAGTTATAGTATAATCTGACACATGCACGCAAACATACGTGTGTATGTGCACCAAAGCAGTGCTTTTAATGTTCTTGGTTATTATATGTCATCCAGGTGCGTTTCTGTTGTCTTTATTCTGATCTTTAAAGTGCAAGGTGCTGCTGGTGTTAACAATTATTGGGAGCCACAAGATGAACAGGTTTCAGGGTCTGGGGATTTAGCTCAGTGGCACAGCGCCTGCCTGGCAAGAGCAACGTCGTGAGTTTGATTCCCGGTACCGGAAAAAAAAAAAAAGATGAACAGGTTTCAGATGCTGGTGGTGTGGACAGGGAGGGAACTTCGCCATGCCATTCTGAACAAGGTTACACTGGGCGTGGCGGTGTTCAGGAAGTAGTTTGTGAGTTTACTGAACTGTAGGTTAGGTCTCCACCGGGGAGTTAGTTTTCCTTACGGAATGATAGCACACCACTAAATAAAGAGTGCATGTGAAGATCTTTATTACATGGGTCTTCTTTGAAAGGTGAATTTCGCTGAACGTCAGAACATGGTTTTATACAGTTTTCCTTCAAATGGCAGAGAGCACCTTTAAGTAGCCGGACTGAAGTTACGGTGTAGTTACTACAGCCTATATTCCTCTGCGCATACACTGAGAATTATGCTTACTCTAGAATGCAAGCAGGGGGAAATGGGCACAAAAAGACCCATGGGTAAGTGCTGGTACCTTTGCTCCACCTTGCTCTCCCATTAAGCGATTTCTGCTGATGACGGCTGTGTGTGTGTGTCTGTGTCTATGTGTGTGTGTGCCTATGTGTGTGTGTGTCCGTGCGTGTGTGTGTGTGTGTGTGTGTGTGTGCGAGCGCGCGCGCGAGCCCCGCTTCTCCACACTTCTCTATGTAAAGTTCACCATTCCCAAAGCTTGGGGAGCTTAATGAGGCGCCCACCCTGACCGTCTCTCAAGGGCTTCAGGGCAGATCAACATGTATTCCTGCAAACAGGACAGATCCAAGGAGGCCAACCTTAGCTTATGCAGAACCCTGGCCGTCAGATACACACTCACAGCAAGAGCTCCCCTGTGCTGTGGGACCCCGGAAAGAGGGAGCAGACGCTGGGCGTCCGGGCGGTCTCCCGGGGGACAGCTGGGTAACTCACCCCACCTGGGAGGATGCTTGTGTTTACATCTCAGGTTGCCGCCCCGCGATTGGCGGCCGGGCTGGAAGGGAGGGTCCGCAGGAAACGCGACACTGGGGGTGCTGCCCCCTATCACATGATGGAAATTTCCACTCTTTGGGAAGGCGAGAAGAAAAGCAGGGTCTCCTGATCCACCCTTTCCCAATACTTGCCCCGGATTCTAACCCAAAGAGGACAGGACAGGAGGTGGGTGAGTGGAGTTCTGCGCATTTTCTGTTAGACGTAGAGACCGGTCGCTGCGCAGGCTGGAAGCGGGACCCGGCCGGACGCGCCTGCGAGTGGGCGCCCGCGCTCGCCCACGCGTGACCCGGCTCCCGCGCGTCTGGGACTCAGGCTGGGCGCCGCGCCTCTGCACAGCTTGGCGACGGTCCCTGGTCTGCACATTTCCTAAACTGTCACACTTTGAGAGGGCCCCAGCATGGAGCAGCGCGGCGCGCAGGGGCCGGCGGCGGAAGGGGCTCCCGGGGCTCCCTCTCCTGGGACAGCGGTGGCCTCGGGGGTGGCGGGGGCGCCCGGCCTTGGGCGCGCGTCGCAGGGTCCCTGTGGGTTTCGGGTCGAGTGGTCCAGACCCGCTGTGCCCCCCGCCGGCGGGAGGAGCGCTGACCCGCGGGTCCTGGGGACCGAGTGCGCAAGGTGTCGCCCGAGCCGGGCCGCGGGGCGGGCACCCTGGGCGCGCGGTTTAAAATAGAAGAGGTCCGACAGCTGCGCCGCGCCGAGGGCCGGCGGGACTCCCCGGGCGGGGTCCGGCTG